AAATACTTACGCAGACCATCAAATGACGCTTCCTTGGAGGTCCAAGCATTGTAAATTACAAGTCAAAATCAAACTGTACAAAGTCGAGCAACCACGCTCCTTATATACTAAATAAAGTGCACACACCGCAAAATTTCTGTATAAACCGCTAGTAGCTTTGAATTTCAGAAGTATTTTCATACAAACATTGCAATGTCTTAGGCCCTGGGGTGTTACGTCTTACGGCGCATCCTTTTTGTATCAAATGCACATTTATGAAATTCAAAGCTGCTAAACTACTCGCACGTCAGTAAAAAGCTGACGAAACGCGAGGTAAATGACACTCCGAAATAAAGTCACCGAACGCAAGAATTTATATTCAGCAAAAACAAAATGTCACACCATATCGCAATACTGAGCTGAAAAGAGCTGTAAAAGATATAAAAAGGAATGAACAAAATTACTCGGGGGGCAGTTGATCAGTAGTCCGTCAGTCAGTCAATAAGTACCTGTGAGACTCAACTCCGTACACACCGGTCCGACAATTGGTGATTACTTTACTTAATAAACTCGCGACTGTTACAAAGTAATATCGTGCAAATATTATTCAACGACCTATCCAATACAATTCAACAAGCAGTTAGAGCCTGCTGCATTTCTATCAACAATTAAAAACTACGATAATCAAAGTAGTGCAATTATCATACATACATATTTACATTTCCACATACATTTATTATAAGTGAGACATATCTAACCACTAGTCAACATATTGGAACGTCTCATTCATTAGCTATTCGTAGTTGATGCACGAGACGTAACAATTAAAAGGTAGGCCATCGAAGCAAGAGACAATGTGCTACTGTCTGAAAAACTGTTGAAAGCTTTTCCAAAATATATACATAACTTCAAAATGAAGCATGGTATTGTATCCAGAAAAATCTATAAATTTGTAACTTAAGCACAACTATCAAATAAAAAAGAGCTTATTCAACAAGCAAATAATTTTGTTACTAAAGTTAGGTCGAAAATAGTAAAATTTGATAATCAAAATACTTATAATACCGATCAATCTGGTTTTAGTTTAGAATGTCATACAGGACGAACTTTAATATTTAAAGGAACTGTGAAATTTGAATGCTTGGCACAATCTATCAATTCTTTAACATACACTTATACCATGCAGCCTATTACCTCTGCTAATGGAGAACTGAAGGCTCCATTATTAATTGTTTTGTAAGAAATAAATAGTCGTTTTGAACCAACAGTATAAAAAAAATGAACAAAGCTGATCATATACATGTAGTAGCTTCTTCATCTGGAAAAATAACCGTAGACCTAACATCAATATGGTTTCAAGATATTTATCATCGAATTGCTGGAAATGAATCAGTTCTTTGCTGGGATTCGTGGACTGGACAAAAACAGAAGAAAAACTGAGGCACGTCGATAAAGGCAATAAAAAAGTAAAAATATTGAAGATCCCTACTGGAACCACTGAATTTATTCAACCGTGCGAGGTATACTTTTTTCGTCCTTACAAGAACTATATAATACATTTTTCCGATTTTATTATTACGCATGGCTACAACATTAATTTGTATTTGAGAAATAATATTCTTAAACTTCATTCGTTAGCTTATAATCAATTTTCATCTCCTCGATTCGTAAATATGATCAGGTTTGCCTAGTACAAAAGTGGTTAAATGTTGCAAAAACCATCGAAATGTGACACACCAGTTGATTATTCCTTCAATAACTATTCAATTATTTGTGACTTTTGTAGAAAGAATGCAATCATGCGATGTGCTTGGTGTACAAAATCAATCCGTGTAAATCATTTTTTTCGTCCAGAATACGATGAACTACCACATTATTGTATTACCTATGTAAGATAATTAGAAAAACTGTATAATTATATTATATTCAATACGCTTATCTCATTGAGAAAAAAAACATGAAAACCAATAAATTTAAGCTGTATTTATATTCTATTTTTGACATGTTGAAAAGATAATGTTAAAAATTAATTAAATTAAATGGGTACGAAGATTTTACTTGTTCATCACGTATGAATGAAATATGAAATTTTCAAAAAAAATGTCTTTAAATATAAAAAATTTAAATAGAGTTCGTTGACGAATTATAAAACATTTTTGCCTTTGGAACTTTTTGCTCAACATTATAGTTTTTGAGAAAAAGAACAATAATGAGAAAAACAGATTTTTAGGAGACTTTTTTTATAAACAAACCGATATATTTAATTTTACATTCAACAGTTTTGAATTTTGAGCCCAGATTTATATTTAGAATGCTTAAAAACATAAGGTACGGTATCTTCGATCTATGCATGAATTTCGTGGTCGATAACATGGTGTAAGATCGATGGTTTTGAGCGTTAATGGGTTAAGACAATAAATCACTATTTTATTAATCCAAAGTGAAACGGGCCACTAAAACTGGTTTAAAATATCTTGTATACATGTGATAAAAGTAATCTTAAAGTGTAATGCGGTACATTACAAGGCCTTTCCTGAGCGTTGTATTATTTGCAACACCTCAGGAAAGCCATTCCTGTTCCTTGCCGCCCCGTAACCAGTTGCATAAAATGTAAATAAACGCGCAATAAAATAAACAATTAACCCTTTTCATGCCCGAATACCACAACCGGAGATATTGACGAAATAAGCGACGAACGCGATCCGACGGACACTCAAAAGAGAAAAAAGGAGCGCACCACGAAATAAGAGAGCGCACGCACACACTCACTCACGACCACGTGTTGTGAACCGACCGGCAAAAGAAAAACGAGAAACTTCACCGGGAAATGCAGCGGAAATGCATGTTGATGACACATGCAGATCCGTTACACTCCCAGGCACCAACACCAACACTCACGGAACACTGACACCCCTGGGGCGAGCAGAAAATCGCCGATGAAGTGGCAGCCGGCAATCAGCTGGGTCGGGCTGCCGAACACCATCAGCGACATCCTGAGCGCCACACACAATCACAACGGTAACCACAAAAATAAGAAAAATTGTTGAATTCGTCAAATTAAAAAACTGTATTACGTCAGTTCTGTTGTCCAAAGTTTATTACTGAAAATTTATACATAGCCATGCAAAGGTCAGAAAATGAAATCAACAAAATTTGTCGTAAAAATTTATATTTGATGAAGGTACGGACATTCTGACAGCAATAAAAGCTAGGCTTTCACTCCCAGGGTACTAACGCTTGTGCATTGCGCAGTATATAATACATGTACTGTAATGGGGTGGGTACCGTTTAATTACTTTATTCGCGCAATTCCACCGAAGGGCGCGCGTAATTACCTATGCTCGATACGTTAGTCGGAAAGCAGGAGGGAAACAGTTGTCAGTCAACCAATAAATCTATGAATCTATGAGGAGTGGAGTTATTAGGGAGCAAACACGCTGAGAGCATTTGTTAATAATACGAACAGCACCTTTTATTTTCTATTAAATGCTACATTAGATCGGCCCGCGTGTTTATGTTGACATCGGCGCTCGCTCAACGACAACATGCAATGTCGGGACGCTCGCTGCTCTTTGTTTGTAGAGCTACTGCATGCACGCATCGGACGAATAATTAACCGAGCAATAATCGTATCACGACCGCGAAATTAAGCTGGTCAGCTTACCTTAATATTGCCGACGTACGAAGTGGACGACAGCGAGTCGTACTGCGAGGAAACTGTCTGTGTTAGTGTCGCGGATTGCGAATTCGCGCACACGTGGTTTCGCCCTCGATGGCGAAACCTCACGCACACTCTGTCGATCTCGTGGAGGGCGACGCTTCTTCGTCGGCTCGGGTCTCTCCCTTTGGCAGCTATACGGCACCGTGGCAACAGCGATTACTCCTGATTATCACTGGCACGGACGATCTTCTCTTGATTTTCGGTCTTAGCGGCTTGCGAATCGGTAGTTATCGAATAAGCGGACGAGCACGATAATGGATGAACCCTCACTGGTTCGTTTTCAATCGCGTGCGTTCCGTCTGCTCGCGCGCCCAATTCCTTCGTTTCATTTTTCGTCTCCCCGGTCGGTGCTGCCCCCGCGAGCAGCAATTAGGTTATTTTATTAGCGCTAATTCGACGTTTACCGTCACAGTACATGCAAGATATATTAGCGATACTCTTCAACCCACGATTCTCTGATATAACAAAGACTTATTCATTTTTTTAAATGCAAATGAATTAGACATTATCGTTATTTAGACACTATAGTTAATTAAATATGTGCATATATTCTACACTGTCAGTTGTGGAATTAACATGGGATTACGTATAATAAAGATTGAAAAACTACCCGAAAAAACCAAATAAATCAATTTATAATCTTTTTAAACTTATGTCATATCAACTCATCAGCTTATCATAAAAATTGGTAAAACTTAAACTATGTTTAAATATAGAATAATTTGAATAACATGAACATTCTAATAACATCAAATTGAATGTAAATTAATCTTTATAAATTTAAACAAGAATTATTAATAGACTTATTCAAAATTCTTGTAATCAGTCATAATACGTATTATGCTCAAATCAGGTTAATAATGAAATGGAACTATTTCTGGAACAAAGAAATACGATTAACTCTTTTACTGGAATGTGTAAATATACATAAAAAAATTTAAATCCAAGATAGGACCTTCTTTTTAAAGTCTGCAAAAGAAAAATAGAAAATATTTGTTCAAGTCAAAAAAAGAAAAAAACAAATAAACAAAAATAAAAAAAAAATAAATATAGTTTTAATCATTCTCTTCAAGTATTTTTGTGAATTTTCCTTTAATTTGAAATTCTTACGTCTTTTAACGGATTTTTTTTTAAATTGTTTTTTTATCCCGTATAATCAATTCGCTTATTATTAGAAGTTTAGAAGTTTAGAGAACTGTGTTATCATCTAAACTTTCTTTACATAATTGATAATACTACATAATCTATGAATGTAAGCATGAATATTATTTGTATTATCTTGAATTACTTTTTTTTTCAGAAAATTTGCAGTACTTAAAACTGGGAGACAATAACTTGCACTCTGTACCAAGTGATGCCTTACGTCGGCTACATCGCTTAAGACATCTTGACTTGAAAGCAAATAATATAACTTCGTTAGCTGAAGATGCATTTACAGGATATGGTGATTCAATTACTTTTTTAAATTTACAAAAAAATATGTAAGTTCTGATAAATTGAATATTTGTATACATTTGTATTGTAATATCTGTTATATAAATAATTTATTTTAAACAATTCTTAATTATTCATAAATCGCACATTACCTTTTTTGTAACTTTTTAATTTTTATTATTTATTTGATATTTTTAAAATTTCTGACTATAATCTGTTTGTAAATAATATAATCATAAGAATAGCAATTTTATTTTGAATGTACATTACTTCTTCTTAATGCATTTAAGAAAATTGAACCCAAGAGGAGGGTTATTTTGTTGAAAATCGTATAGGGTTACATTGCGTCGTAAACAATAACAGTAGTTGTTTAAATGTTTAGATTGTTAGATTATATAATGGGGTTGTTGCTCAACGTAATATTTAAAAAAAATTTCTCAATTTATTTCCACGTTTTGTTCAAACAAATATGCAGAATCACCGAAAACAGATTAATCTCGAATAAAAATATATCTTGTTTTCTTCATACATATTTCATATAGTCTTATCAATGTCTTTTCAGCTTATCACTATTTACATGGATATCATTAAGCACAAACAATTTTTATAGTGCAATATCATTGAACATATAATAATTATGTTCTAAAATATATTTTTTAACAGGAAAATAACTAATTTTTATATGGGTGAATATATTTAAAAACAATATATTTAAGAGTGGTTCTCACCTCTTTGATATACTTGGGTCTTTACACTATGCCTGAATACTTACTATTTTATAAGAAATAAACAGGCGTTGATTTTATTAAGAAATTCCGATCCAATCTCGAAATATTAAAAAAATTGGTTTTTAGAGGTGTTAAGGATGGTGTTCTCATCCCTTGAACATATTTGGACCACTAATTTATGCTTAAATACTTATTTTTTATAAGAAAAAAATAGGCATAGGTTTTATCCGAAAGAATCCGATCAAATCTAGAGATATTAAAAAAATCTGTTTCGGGGGTGAGTTTTAAGGGTGGTTTTCCTCCCTAGACATACTTACACATGAGCGTTCGGGCTCCTAAACTTTACCAAAATACTTGTCTTTTTAGAAGAAATAAGTAGGCGTTAGATTTTATAAAAAATGTTGATTCAACCTTGAGACATTGAATAAAAACAGGTTTAAGGATGAGCTTTTGAAGAATAAAATAAAACCTGTAACAGGATCGATTAAATAATGCAATAAGAATTTATTGAAGCACAAACTCCCACGATGCAGAGCTAACTGTTGCTCTGTTAATCACTTATGGTTATACGTGTAGTCACCTTTACGTTTGATACTTTCGTTTCAGTGTCTTCTTTCTAACAGAGTTGAACTCACCTTAATTCACGTGACTTTTGATACTCTATCTATCTTAGGTGTGAGTAACCTAATGCTTAATTCGACTAATCCCCTAAATGAAATCGGATTAACATTTAATCTGTGATAGATCTATTAAACTATTAGGAAACAAAATGATGTAATGCGACGAATAAAATTAATAACGTTTATGACTAGAAAATGACAATCTTTTACAGGCCGAAAGACTAACGCACGCGAATAGGATTTACAATGATTAATAATAATACGGAGAGAGAGAAAGAGAGAGAGAGAATTCGAATTGTTGCCACGAAAACTAACGCTCGGCGCGAATACGAAAAATAACGATCGCGATATACAAAATACTCTAGCTAGTATTTTGTCGCGCAATAAAAGGGAGGTGCACCTACCCCGCGGTGCAATTATGGTGATCAGCCGTAATTGTTGAAGAGAATAAAAGGTGCTTCTCAAATCAGCTGCACTGCCACGCTTTTTTGACGTCTTTTGTTGACATCTTTTGTGATTTTACTGCGACTGTTTCGTCATAAAATTTGAAAAAATTATAATTTAACTTTTTAAAATTTTGCCCTTAAATTGACCCTTGAAAGGTCACGAAAATAAACCTTTAAATGTTATTCCGGACGAATAATTTCCCGTGTTTTTCAAATCCGGTGTGAGACATAGGGGATTTCATTAAAAAAGTTAGGTTGACCTTGAAAATACTTTGGGGGGGGGGGGTCATTCGGACCCTATTAATATCCTATCATCTGAACGTACAATTTCACGTAGAATTCAAACCTGCAACGAAAAATGAGGGGTTCCATTTAAAAAGTAAAGTTGACCTGGAAACGAATGGAGGTGGGGTGGGGGTCATTTAGACCCCACATATATTACATGATTTTAACGTAGATTTTAACGCAGAATTCAAATCCGATATAAAAAGTAAGGGTTCCTATTTAAAAAAAAAAGACCTTGGAATGACCTTGACCCATCATTTTAAGGTCACATTTAAGGTCACCAAAATATGGCCCTTTTGGTATTGAGCAACTTTTGTCTGAACTATTTTTCTGTACTATGCATAGAGTGTGAGATATGGGGGTTCATAAATTAAAATGACTCACCCTGTATGTGTATTATAACAGGCGGCACTTGTTAATGTCACATCTCGAAAGATAGTCTAATTAAGCTTGCGAGAACAAACACGATCAGGTGCGAGAGGATTAGAACGAGAGAGGGGAAGAGGGCCGCGAGAAATAGGTTGTGCGGTTCAAGATCAGCAGTATCGTTTGGATTTACACGTAGTAGCTAACACTACCGGTGTGAATCCCAAACCGCGTGCTCGTTACTCCTAAGGATCCAAGCGACCTTTAAAGTATATATATACATGTATGTATGTGTGTATGTGTGTGTGTGTGTAGTATAAAAACTCAGATACTCACAGCTTAGATTTTCTAGTATTCTGGTCCATTCTTTCGTCTTCAACTTTTGAAATTTTTTTTTCTTATCCACTCCGGAAATATTTCATAGTGTAATATCCCACTAAAAGTGAAACGAGAATTAGTCCTTTCGGGCTGTGATTTATCACTTTATCCGGGAAAAGAAAGATTGTCGTTGATTTAAGATACTGAAAATTTTTGGAGCACGGCGTCGGTGCTTATCTAGTCCCAGAAATCTTAAATTGATTATTTTAGCGCCAATCTTTACAGAAGGCACGGAAAATTTCAATAATAGATTCCACTCAGATCTATAAAGATCCTAATGATCCAAGTTCTGAGCGTTACACTAACAAGGAAGGTACCCGAGGTGTACCTCACTGATTTTCTTGAAATTGTGATATGTTGTAGAACATCAAAAAAATATTCGACGCGTATTTTTTTTTACGTGCCCATAAGCCCATTTAAGGGGTGAAACCCACCCTTGAAGTTCACCCCTAAAAACAAATTTTTTTTTAATTTCTCGAATACAATTCGTAATTTTTTACTGAAACAAAGTGGGTAACACTTGTTATTGAAAAGCACATATTTATGCATTATTTTTAGTCATCAGACTCGTAACCCCCGTTTTTTATTAATGAAAAACTATATTTGATGACCATTTTTTTCACTATACACATTCCAAAATCTGTTAAATCTTGACAAAATTAATTGTTTTATGCACAATAATCAAAAATAAAGTTGACCTGTTCCGGCATTTTCAAAAAAAAAATCCCTTGAGGGGGTGAGCTACCCCTAACATTTATACTATTATATTTCATTATTCCATTACGATATCATGGTGTAAATCTCTTGGATACTATTAAAATTGTTAAGTAGTTGATGTAGTTTGAAATTTTCTGAAATCAGCCCTTACAAATGAATTCATCCCTAAAACTCAATCTCAAGTATTATTTTTTCATTACTTGAAAATACCCTAGGACTATTCAGTGGCGTAAAACGTGTAATAATATTAGTTCACATCCTTGGTATTGAATTAGAATTCTTCACCCCACTGATGTATCAACCCCTATTTTTCAATAAAAAAATGACACCCTTTTCCATATGAAAATACTAGTTTCTTGAGTTTGACGAAAAAAATTTTGGCAGTATGCACAATATTCAAATACGAAATCGACTGTTCTCACCTTAATAAAAATAACCTATAATAAGGGGTTTACCAGCCCCACAGGAGATATTGTCGTATCTCTATGATTTTATTCTTTTTCTATGGGACTTTCAAAAGTAATAAAAAATTAATGATTCAAAGTACAAAAAAATTTTAAATTTAATATTTCAATGGTTTCGAGTTTTAATGTTACTTTTTATAATCCTGGCAATAATGATAATCATTAAAAAAATGTTTCAAGCATAATGATTTCTTACACCAAGAGCATCTTACAATTGCTGAGTTAGAGCAACCAGCAACTTCACAACGCTCATTACAATCATTACCAAAACTAAAATCTACGGGGTTATCAAATTTATCTGGCTTTGATTCAACGTAGCCACTTTTATACCATGAATATTTGAATAGGTTATTGTATCGAGGAGATGACAATTGATTATGTACCAAGGATTGGAGTTTTATAATGTTATTTCTTTTATGAAGTTCTATATCCTCATTCATTAATGTTACACTGTCCTCGAAGCGACGGACGTAATTTTTCCACACTCGGAAGCCGAAAGCATCTAGTGGCTGAATTTTGCCTGTTGTTCCTTTTGGAATTATTTTTACATCAACAATTTTGTTTGGAGGTGCTGCTTCCTTTACAGCATCAGGGCAATGCCCACTCCACGAATCAATTAATAAGACACTTGAATGCCCAACATTGGGAAAATACACATCCTTCAGCCATGTTTTGAAATGTTCTGTAACCATTGAAAAAACTCATTTTTATTCACATGACATAAGTTAAAAACTGTAATCATCAATAATAAATATCATACCTGAAGTCAGTTTTCCAGAAGCGGAAGGCATCACGTAAATATTTGATGGCTTGAATAATTTGGATTCTACTACCGGTCCAAAGGTTCCTTTACTTTCCTTTAAAACAATGAATAATGGGGAAAGCAGTCTCCTATCACCTGAAATGAGTGGTTGAATTGTGTAACTGTGAGTCGTCGAACTTACAGATTCTACAAGACATTCAATTTGCTTTTCGCCTTCAATAGCTAGTGTTCTTCCCGAGTGCATTTCAATTTGAAATCCACTCTGATCTGAATTGTAAAT